CCCCCAAAACCCCAAAACCCCAAAACCCCAACTTTATGAAATAATATTGTTTATAATATATAAATAATGTCATCAACTGACCAAGGAACCTCAGCCAGAGAGTGCAAGATATGCCTCGAACCAGTGCAGAGTGCTTATCTTCTAGAATGTGCTGATATGTACTGCTGGGAATGAATCAAACATTTCTGAGAGTCCCAGAAGAAACGTAAACTTACACCTTCGTGCCCTTTATGCATCCATGAAATTAAAGGAGAGTGGCTGACGAATTTACTAGAAGGAGATGCACCTCCTCCACCACCTCCGCCCAAGCCTCAACATGTAGAAGTTAGAAGAGAAGAACAACCAGAGGACGACCTTGCTCTACCAGTGCTTGGTGGGATACACTCTGAAGAACTAAAGGGAGAAACTTACTTTTGCCCTAGTTGCCAAGAAGGAGAAGGAGTTATAAATAATAGTAGGACTAAGGCAACCTGCGCCTGCGGTCATGTGTTCTGAGTGGAGTGATACCAAGAATGGGGAGCTAATGATGCCCATAGGTGTATCAGACAAGGTAATGGCGAGAACAGTGGGGTATTGGAAGGAGATTATTTAGACCGAATCAGAAATATTGGACAGAATGGAGATGAACTCTTGTGCCCGAAATGAACGATGAGGTGTGAGATTAGAAATGATTCTAGTCTTGGCAAGTGAGAAATGTGAGAGCATGAGTTTTGAATGTTCTGTAGGGAAGATTATGATGTAGGCCATCGTTTTTCTCCATTCAAAGCATGAGGCAAAAAGTACTCGAATGGAAAAGATGATATTTGTCTTGCTTTAACATGGTATTTATTCATCGACATCATAATTTATCCTCAACTTTATTTTCTGACTCCCATAACTAAGAAGCTAAAATGCCCGAAAGAATGAGGAGAGTACATAGGCGCTATAATCCTCCTCGTCGTTTTTGTATTCCTCTTTCTTCTTGCAATATTATTCTCTTGTTTCTGTTGACTAATTTTCCCTTGACTTGCACTGCAGAGGTCAAATCATCTAAAACGAAGGCTTGATGAGTAGGAGAATCACAATATTAATTAACCCAAAATAGCACTTTCAATTTGGAAATACATTTCAGGGGTTTTGGGGTTTTGGGGTTTTGGGGTTTTGGGGTTTTGGGGTTTTGGGG